TTTTATTTTTTTATTTTAATGCCCAAGTATTTTGCATTATGACAAAAAAAATGATGCTTGCATTTTTGTTTTGCATTTCTTTATATATGTATTGTATATATAAACACTTATAAGAAGTTCTCTTGTGTTTGTAGGAGTGGGTTTTAATATGTATATGTATAGAGTCTATGCAAGAGAAACACACACACGTGGATGTGTGTGTATATAGTTTCTCTACTCTTGGTTACTTTGTGTGTGTGTGTGTGTGTGTGTGTGTGTGTATTTCTTACCGTTAGCCATAAATAGTAGTTGTTTGTGTGTGTGAAAACGTGCAGCAAAAAGTCTAAAACGTAAATATATAGCAAATTTGTGGTGCAGTGTACAAAAAAGTAACGGCAATCGTTTCGCTCGTGTTTGTGTGTGTGTGTGTCACTGTTTGTGTGTGAGTGCTGCATAACGTCGACATAGGTATTGGTATTGGTATTTATGTTTATTCTCTTGCTGTGTGAGTAGGAAATTACGTATGTATTCTTGTATGTATGTATTTATTTGGTATTTCTTTTTTTTTTTTCTTTGCTTTGCTTTAGTTTAAGCTGTTTTTGTTTAGTAGTTTACTATATTTATTTCCTTTTTCTATTTTCCGCGACTTTTTCGTTTTTATTTTTATTTTTTTCGTATTTGTATTTTGCATAATTTACACCAATTTAAGTTAAATATATATATATTTGCTTTTTTGTTTTGCTTTTTAGCTTTGCTTTATGTTTGCTGATTTCAAAAAGAAGAAGAATTATTTGTTAGTTTAAAGAACATACAGATTGCACACATTTATTTAACGACAAGATGACAAATATCATGATGTTTCATGTTTATTTAATAATTTGCTTTAATCGCAATATAATATTTTACTTTCTTTTTCTCTCTCTCTCAATATCTCTCTCTATCTATCTCTGCCATTAACTCTTTGTATTCCTCTCCTTCTGTCTGCCCTTTTGGATGGATATTTATTCATTTTTCTGCATTTTTTGCTACAAATTTCAAGTTTCTCAATTGAATCAACAATCGAGTTGCGCAAAAACAAAATAGACTTGAACTAAAAAAAATGAAAACAAACTCGCATTCAAAGCAAAATCAACTACGTCATTGTGCTGTCCAGTGCTGCCCATTTAGATGCAGCGACACAGCTTGACTAAATCTGCTAATGGAAGACCATTTCAATTAAATCCGACGCCTTCCACTAGTGCAGCACAGTTATTAATATTGTTTGCATTACGCTTTTTTGATCCGTAGTTCCTTTAAAAAAAAAAACCAATTAAAAAATATAACTAAAACGCAGTAAACATATTAAAAAACTTTGTTTCTTGTATTCATTTTGTTGCTTTTTCGTTAATTTTCGTTCGGTTGCAGTGGTGGTTGTTGCCTGTGCTGTATATATATGTATATATATGTGTGTCGCGTGTCCCTGTGTGTTTGTGTCCGTGATAAGCTGCTAATTGGTTGCTGCACATGCTAAGCCAAGACACCAACAAGAGTGCAAAAACAATTGGGGCGAGATTGAGAAGATGAAAACAAAGAGAAAAAGGGAAAAACGACAAATGGCAAATGGAAAACAAGAAAACAACAAAAGAACATAAAAGAAAACAAATTAAACATGTATATATGTATGTGTTTTTTTCTCTATTTGCTCATCATTACCTCCTTTTTTTTTTGTTTTTTTTTTTTTTTTTTGTATTGTATGTTACATTCTTTCATACTATAAACAATTACAATTAAGCAATATTTGCTGCAATGTTTGTGTAAAATACCAAACAAAATAAGAATACCAATAGAAGGAAAACAATAGCAGTTGTTAAATATATGTATATCATAAATGTTATAAATGTAACTTAAATGGTACGCGGAATAAGGAGGATTCGGGATGTGGACGCTTAAGGAAATTCTGACCAGATATTAGCATGGGAACTAATAAAACAGCTTTGTTGGTCCAAACGGTTGCTTAAGTCGATTCATACAATGGTAATGCCTAGCAGTTGTATAAGTATGTGTGTGTGTATGTGTGTGGGTACATGTACTTTTGTGTGTAGGTGTGTGTAAATGTGCCTATTGTATTATTTAGCTTCTACGACTTTGGGCGGCCTTTTACGAAAAGCTGTACAGGATGCGGTAGTTACTGCAACAGCAAATCCTTCTTCAATTCATGTCTGTCGGTGGAGACGGCGGAGTTGGCGGCGAAGTTGACGATGCTGCTGCTTCAGCTGCTGTTGCTGATGTTGACAATTGTTGTTGCTGTTGTTGCTGCTGCTGCTGCTGCTCCTCATATTCCAAGTCAGCACGCAAGCAGCTGCTGCAGCTGGTTGCATCGCTGTCCTCCACTATGGTGTCGTCGTCGTCATCATCGCCATCATCATCAGAATCGTCATCATCATCATCATCATCCTCATATGCAAGCTGCTGCTGTTGCTGTACGAGCTGCTGCTGCTCATAGACRTACGCAGCACATTGCTGTGCAGCGCCATCTATTGGCATAGCCAGCTCGTCCAGGTCCAACTCCATGTCTTCATATGCTTCTGCTGTCTGTTGCTGTTGTTGATAATGATGTTGCTGCTGTTGCTGATGATGGTGGTGATATTGCTGTTGTTGCTGTTGCTGTTGCTGCTGTTGATATTGTTGTTGTTGCTGTTCCATTAACTCCACATCGCGATCAGCTGTTGTTGCTGTTGATGTTGTTCTTGTTGTAGTTGTAGTTGTTGTTGTTGTTGTTGCTGTCGCCTCCTCCTCCAGCTCATCCCCCTGGCCCTCCTCCAGTTCCACTTCCATCTGCACATCTATTTGCTGTCCCTGTTGCTGCTGCTGCTGCTGCAGCTGTTGTTGTTGTGCTGCTGCTGCAGTAGCAGTAGCAGCAGTAGCAGCAGCAGCAGCAGCAGTTGCTGCTACATCTAAATGTTGTTGTTGTCGCTGCTGCTGCTGCTGCTGTTGCTCCTCCAGCCTCCTGACCACCACTTCATCCGACTCGACAATACTTTAACCGCTCTTAAACAATAAAATGGCCACCTGGCCCAAATAGAAATATATGAAATGGCGCGTCTCGTGTGTCACATACGATCCAAAATTGCGGCCGACAATGCAATGCCATGTTGGATTGTATTTCTTGTCGAATTCCTTCTTGATATAAGCCGCAATATCCTGCAACAGAGAAAGAGAGAGAAAGGGAGAGTGAGAGACTTGTTAACGGTTTTTCGAATTAGCGACAACGAAACGGAAACTCAATAAAACAACCTCAGGCCGCCAGCAACAAGACCAACAAACCCACAAACTTCCAGCCCACGCGCCTAGCCAAGCCTTCATTTGTGACCTCAAAAACTGATTGAGTGTGGGGCGCGGTTGGGCTTGGGGCTTGGGGTTTGGGGCTGGCAAAAAGTTTTATGTGCTAATGAGTTAGTTATGACGCTTGTTGCTGTTGCTGCTGCTGCCGTTGTTGTTGTTGTTGTTCTTGCTGCTTGGACTTGTTGTAAAATAATAAAAGAAAGTGTAGCATAATCAGCAGCGCAAGGTTTAGGCAGCACTGTGTCACACGCACACCACTACTACTACCACTACAACTGTTTTATGTAGTTTCGTATGCAGCGCTCGCATTGGCAAATGCCAAAGGTCAATGCCAGTCGCTTTTAATGGGCTAAAGCCAGGGTTATGCAAACAGACATCGACGCCGCCGTCGCACACACACACAGACATATCAAATAGACAATAGAAAAGCGAGACAGACAGACAGGGAGACGGACAGACGGACTGATAGGCAAACACATAAGACATACGCCATGCGGAAGCAAAGCAAAACATTTGACGGCATTTAAGGCCAAGAAACTTTAGACTTAGCCAAATAGTTTAAGCCACAATCTTTCGACTTGAATGAAATGAGTTTATTTTGCAAATAATTTAATAATGATACAGTAGAATCCAGTTATAACGATAGCGAAACAAAATTATGATTCCTAGACAAAGTTAAATGAGTTAACTTATAATGTTTATAGATCCCTTGAACGTCGCTATAACCGGATTCCAGTCTAGCATTAAAAAACAATTAATACAATTTACATATATTATCTAGTAATTTACTATAGTCTACTCAAGATCTCAGTCGAGTACAGTACAGCCTGCCTCAAAAATATATTCTCAGCTTTGAGCCGAAATTTATTCAATTATCATTTTCAATAATTTTTAACAATTTAAATAATAGTTTTGTTAACTAATCGAAAATATAAGAAGAATGCATTGTATGCATTAACAGTGCTTAGCCTCATTCTAGTACAGTATAACCTGCCTAATGCGAATAAACGCTTAACAGAGGAACATGTTTAATTTATTAATTAATTAAAAAAAGGAAAAAATCTTCATATCACTGCAAATAAATATTTGTCAGAATTTGTCAGAAAATTCTTGACGGCATTAAATGTCAAGGAACGTTAGCCAAAAAGTGTGGGCCTACTTTTTGACGGCTTAAATTAAATTAGTTAATATTTATTAACAATTAATATTTATTAACAATTAACAAATATTCCTAGATATTTTAATACAGCAGAGAGCATTGTCGATATAGAGACAGTGCTCTTGTCTAATACAGTAAGAACTGCCTACTACAAATAATCGCCTCAACTCAACCAGTCCACTTATATTAGCCAGCACTGTAAAGCAAGGCAACTCAATGAGAATTTAAAAATCATTAAAACACTCCAAAATGTTGTCCAAAAAATGAAATGAGAGAGAACTAGAGGTAGCTAAAAGGGGGTTAGCACAAGGGAAGGTAGATAACAAGTGGTAGGGGTGGGTAGCTACTCAACCACTGTGCAGCAGATAGGAAATTGCCAAACTTGAGCAGAAATGCGTGCTAAGCCATAAACTTAACCCAGTGACCTCAAAGGCAAACAAACAACAGTGGGAAAAGCTTTTGCGACAATGCACTATGGGGAAAAATCCAAATTATCGGGTATTAATTAATAACTTGAAAACYAAGCCAGATTTTTTGATCCGGTTTTTGTATTATTAATATGTATACCATCAGAAATATATTTTAGAAAAATGGGCGTGTC